TTTTAAGATTCAATTTTCTGATATGATGTAAGTAAAAAAATAGCTAATTTTGGAGATATATTACACCCCTAGACGCGTTAGTACATTTTTAGGTCAAAATTGGACATGATTCTTCGTCAAGTTTCTTTGCTTGATTTTAAACTTAAATGCATTAAAGGTAGAGTTGAAAATCAATTGCGAAAAATCGTGTCCGTCAGGATGACTGGACCAAACGCAATATTTAGATGAGACCATGTGCACTATTGAATACCTATTTTCTACTATTTGATACCATTAATAAAGCATTTGCTACCTTTGTGTTGATATCAGTAATAAATAAATTAAATGAGCTACACTGACTTTGAATTGTCTTCCAAATTTCTTCTCGTAGAATATTAGCCCACTGATGTTTCGGCAAAAGAGTTTTTGTCCTAAAGTTCGATAATTTGTCTTTATTTCTTTTTACACATTGTACAATAGGCCGGACTTTTTGCCACAGATAAAAATCTATGTAAAAATCGAATGTTTTGCAGCCAGAAGCCTGGGTTGTTGTAATCGCTGTATTGTTTACTGATTGGGGCTTATTACAGACTAAACTGCGATTGTCGAAAAAGAAATCGTAATTTTTTACAATTGATAGGTATATAGCTTTTTCTGACATCTTGTTTTGTAATAATTCACTAAGATTTTTAAATACTGGATCACACGGTGACGGAAGATCACTTTTACTAGAAAAATATTTTTCAAACTTTGAAATAGCTTTTTTTTGATCTTCTAATGACACTTTTAAGTGTCTACCTCGTTTCATCTTAAAAACTCGATTTCACACATTAAAAAACTGAATCGTTTTAACAAGATTTATAACGCCACAAACAACAAAAGTGAACTCGTACTCAATAATTTATCAGTTGTAAATATTGTCGGTAGTTGAAATAAAAAAAAAACTAATATTTGTCTTTTTTTTATTGTCTCCCGAATATTCTAATTTTAGTATTAAAATGAATTGCAAATAATGAAATGAAATGAAAATATCTTTATTCAAGTAGGCTATTACAAGCACTTTTGAATCGTCCAAAAAACTTTTTTCCCCTACCACTTGTTCAGGACGTCTTTTAGCTGACAAGAAGAACAAGCGGAAGAAACTTATTAGCTTTTTATCATAAGTAATGACATTTACATAAATCATGTCATTACCAAAATAATATGTATTATCAATTTATCACAATAGTAAATACAACTTTCAAAGTCTGTAGGACATAGGTTGAACATATAATTAGTCTTTATAGAACAAAGCGAAGGCTATTAATTCCATGCATTGCGATCCTTAAAATAATCATCAACTTTATAATAGCCTTTACTCATAAGTATATTCTTTACATGAATTTGAAATTTATTTACGGGTAGGTCAATAATATGTGAGTACGCAGGCACTTTCTCAATCACTTGAAATTTTATATAAATACAAAATATCTAAAGCACTACACTAAGCGTCTGCAAAAAGGTTACTAGCAATTATTCTGACATAAAATTTCGAAAATTCTGTGCAGGCGTTTTATTGAATTTTATTGATAACTTTTTCAAGAAGCTTCCCAAAATTGTGTAAAAAATATATGTTAAAGTAGCACGTAGGTAGTGAATATTTACATTACCAAAGTGGTAAATATAACGCTAAAACTATGAAAACTCATCAGTGGCCAGCCAACCTGACGTCAGAATGACTGGTCATTTAATTTATTTATTACTGATATCAACACAAAGGTAGCAAATGCTTTATTAATGGTATCAAATAGTAGAAAATAGGTATTCAATAGTGCACATGGTCTCATCTAAATATTGCGTTTGGTCCAGTCATCCTGACGGACACGAAAAATCGTCACTTTATAACCTGCCGTGCTATAAGCACAATATTGTTATTTTTTAGGTTAATGTAAGCCATTAACAATACTAATCCAAGGAACAATTTGTACGTAGTAACTAAGCCTTATATAGATTATTTCATAATAATAAAAGTCAAAATGATACCCGATATATTTTAATAAATTACAAAATTATAACTACCATACATACATACTTCTGTGTAATATATAAACAGTATCTCATTCCCGCCTTCATCAACAATAAATATATATATATTTACATTTAAAATGAAGGCACTACTTGTCAAATACAATTAGAATTAATCGATTCAACCTGTTGAAATCAACTATTGGGCAGCTTATGAGATAAAAAGTATAAATATATAGCTCATAATCTTAAAGGGTCGGTGCAAATCTGAGAATCAAATCTGAGGGACCTGTATCGCGGAAGTGTGCGTTTATAATTATCGTATCGTGCGTGCTTATCTTTATATAACTAATATAGGCACTGTATTGTAAGATATATTTGTCTCTTTATATTTATTTTATTAATACGTAGCCCAATCATAGATCCTATCAGAATAACAGCGACTGAGTATATTCTGCCCATCGAGAAATTATATGTAGACGTATACATGTATGTGATCAATAAATATATTTTCTGCGATCATTTATTAATCAGTTCAGACGTGCCGTGTCCGATTCCCATGAGACATGCACCGGCCATTAATTCTTTGTTAACTTATATCATAATTTAAAGTTCATAGTCTTGGAAGTCAATACGCAAATGGACGTTGCATGTAAATGAAGTTATACATAAAAATGTATAACTTCATTTACAATACCAATCGATAAATAAAATTTCAATCAATAAAAAAGATTATTCAGATCTCTAAAGTACCTAATCTAAGTTCTAAAACAATTAATAGGGATGATGACTAATTTTTGTTTGTTTGTCCTTCAGGTAGAGGTAAAAAAATATTAAACACGTATTTTTTATTTTTTTCGTAATCATAAAATTACGGCGTTACATGGAGTTGAAATTTCGCATGACGTCTCGTTAGGGTACATTTTCTACTCAACTGTGACGTAGCGAACCCCCACTCCTCAACTTTAATGCCTGTTATCTAAGCTATTTCTTGTTAAATTGAAGTAAAAAAAATACGTATCTAATATTTTTCTATTATCTGACTGACGGACTAAATAGAATTGCATTTTTTTTTACCCAGTCATCATCCCTATTATACGTTTATCTAACATATTATTATTCCTTTCCATAGTTTAAAAAATTATACTTAAACACAACTTTCTTATAAATTATAATTTAAGATTTGTGGACTTATCTCGATTATTATTAACATTTGGCCATAACAAGATGACTAGTCCGTGTCTGTTGACGTTTTTGGCATTTAATATTGATATTATATATTTTTGACTGTGACATTTGTTTACAACAATGCTATTATGTAAATAAATCATATTAAATCTATTTACTTCCAAAGGCAATAAAGGTTTTGTTTTATAGAAGCTCTTGACGCCTAATTTCAGAATTTATCACAAACCCATACTAAACCAAAGGTATAGCAATTTATGTAATTCTGTTAGGTTTCAAGTCCCAACCGCTTTTATTATTATTAAATGAACGATATCTTTAATTTGACGTTAACTGGAATTGTCTAAGCAAATTGATAAAACCATCGAGTTAAACGCTAAATGCAATCTTTCGATGGGTATTACTTTTTTTTTTTAATGTTTATTGATCATTCAAATCATGAATGGTTCCAAAAGCGATTTGCGACTTTAAAAATGTCACATAATCCTATAAATAGCTTTCACATTCGTTTTCACTTTAAAAGAAATGGTGATAGATTGTAAAATTAGACAACTTGGTGTAACTTATAAATGTACTATAACTACATTTCATCATAAATAACTTTTTAGGCGTTATTTATAATATATTCAATGTTTGTACTTTACATCATTTACTTTCGAGACTTTTCAGTTGTGTCTTAGGTATATAATCCATTCATACGTTATTTTACGTAGTATTTTTTCTGGAAATACTACCATAAGGCACCGCCGAGGTCAAATATTTTTAAATAAATAATAATAAAAAATATGTTTACCATTAAACATTGAAAGTGGTTGACAAACACTTCAGAAATAACACTTAAAAAATCAAATGTACTTTTTAACCTTTAAACCCATTACTTATGACGCAAGAGATTCTGTCAAACTTAGTTAAACTATATATTAAATAGATGAGTAGGTATTACAACATAACGAACCCCAAACATACATACATATACACAACAACATGGTAAAGTTAGTTATCGAACCGGAGTTTTAAATAGTTCAGGTGTAAATAATATTTTTAACTTGTTTATAACTGGTTTCACTAACACTTGGTTAGAGGCTTAATTCATATAATTTGAACCTCTAGACTACAAATATAAAAGGGCGATCGAAGAAAAAGACAAGCTTTTACAATGTCCACTGCCCTAAACGCTCAATGACGTCACATCGAGTCTTATGCTCGAAAATCCGCGGTACCTAATTTAAGTTTTCTAATGTGAAGTTCATGCAAGCGATGTCGATTGACTCGCTAGAGTCATAGAGGCCACTGTTGATTTAAACGACATTTCGACGCTTAAGAGCCAAGACCATGTATCTACACTTTTGGAGATTTTCACTTTTTAATGCAGTTATTTTCATGATTAATTTACGCATCGTTTCCTTTAATCGATTACTTCAAATTCGCAATAAATAAGGAGTTATGAGAAATTACATATAAGTACTACCTAAGTTACGTGTCGTTATAAATTGTATGGAAATACCACCTCTTTCTGAAGATAACACGTAATTAGTCGTTTGAAAATTTAATATAACTAAGAGTTTTTTGTTTGATTAAAGTCTTTAATCTATATTATTGCGTTTGCTAGCGCCTATTACAGTTAGCTGCATAAACATACGCAAATATTTTAATTAATACCAGGTATCTACAGTAATTTTGTAACTAATGAAGGTTTCTTGAAATACATGTAGACACCTTTTTTCCCATGCCTATCCATTTAAATGATCAGATATAAAAATAAAAAAATCTTGTTGTAGGAAAAATATGAAACGTCTTTTTCGTCTCCTGTAAAATCCTGTAATTTTTTTTTTGTAAATTTGGTTCTTAAGCGTCGATTTGCGACGGCTAATATATTGTAATGAGTAACCAGTTTAAGCGACAGGTATAGGTTTTCTAGCTTTAATCAGTTGCTCGGATACTTCCCACAGCTTGTTCTCGACTTCCACGTCAAACGGGTATTTTGATTCGTATAGTTGGCAATCACGGTACATTTGACCAGTGCGACCTTCAATATTGTATTCGCTTGCACAATACACTACCGTTTCTGCGCCCTGTAAATATAACTTTTTGTTTTTACACTACACCCACAATAAGATTACAATGTTACTTGTGTTTAATTAAACTTACCTGTTTCGCTGTTTTCATAAATAAAAGGAATACTGGAGCCATTAAAATGTAGTGATACCATTTAATAGAATATCTGCAAGAAAAGAAATTCGAAATTTAAAATGGTAAAATGATGCTGGCCTGTAGTTTCACGTGAGGTTTTTAAAAAATCACGAAATTACACTAGGACGGAGGAGGGTGTAGTACTTAATATATCATATGTTATTATTTTTTCTACAAACGTACGATTATTAAACCGAAAAGCGGCGTCAAAAATTAAGATTTCTTTGTAAATACAAAAAAATACTCGTGATTTGGGTGGTAGTGAGTAGGTGAGGTGGGAAAAAAAATGCTGAAAAAATATCACGTGATTACGATATATTATTCTCGACCCGAGAAAAGTGATATTTGGGTGTAGACAAAGTATTTGTCATGCTATGTGTGCAGGTAGTCCCAATGTGGTGAATATCGACCTTTGGATCAGTGTCGGCGTAGCCCCTTACTAAGATAAGCAATATCTAAGGGCATCACATCTTGGGCGCACCTGAAGAAGCACTACAAAGAATTGCTAGCACAAAGGTAAGGTTTTATGAAAATCCGTGAGTGTCATACTACATCCATATATTTTTTTTAACCTTATATATAAAATATCCTTAGGTAAATAATGTGTTTTTTTTTTCAAACATAGATAGTTTCGATTATTATGTACTTGTTTAGTCCTGGGTGAGGATTGCTTAACATCAAGTAGTCTCAACTAAGTCCCGGCACTGCTTGAGGTCGAAATCAGTTTCCCCCTTTCCCAGGGGTCGACATATATGAAAATGTTCATACGGGTCGAAAATAAAGAGGTTTAAAAATCGACACCTTATAATCAATAAAATAAGCTAAAATATTAGAGATTTTGAATCCTGCGTACAGATAATAATTTTTATTTAGTAGCTAAACCAAATTTAAACACACAAATTGACATGATCATTAACTTCCTTTTCAAACCTCCGTTTTCGAGTAGCTCGCATGCCTTGTGTCATATCTCTCGGGTTTCGGATTCGATTCTCAATGGAGTTAGTAATAGATAAATGATTTTGTTAACTCTTCTCTGAATGTTGTGGTTTCAGAATTTCCTAGTACACATACTTTACCTACTCAATTTGCTATCTGAGCAATGTATACGATGTTGCATATTTATTATTAACCGAATTCAAAAAAGAACGAGGTTCTTAAATCGACTGTATTTTTTATTTATTCTTGGAATCTGAGCAATGTATATTATCCAACATTTATTTATATTTATGAACGAAAAACATGAGTATTTTTTTATTCAAATAACATGGCGTACCTACTTGCCATGGGTTTCTTCATTCATCAGTAGGTACATTAATTTACATTCGGAACACGCACGCACACACAGTTAAGTAATTCGAAGTAAATATGTACAGTATAAATTCTGTCTAATTTCTCCACTTAATTTTAAACCTTAACACATTGAGGGTATAGTTGAAAATCAATAGTGATAATTTGACATATTTGTTGTAACCATAAGTACTCCTGTGTGTACATACTCACACGGTTCAGTGTTATTTATGTTTTGAATATTGAGTATTGACAGACAGTAAGCAAGCCTATAACCTAAAAAATAAAGCTTAGTAATTGGCGGCGAGCGCCGTGCGATGTAGCAAGGAAGAAGCTACGTTCTTACTAGCCTTGGAACGCTTGGATCTAAATGAGCTCCTATGAATAGATTCTTGGGCTTTAAAGCCAGTAGCAGATGAAACTGATGAATTGATGAAATGAAATTAAATGAGAATATGTTTATTCAGGTAGGCTATTACAAGAACTTTTGAAACGTCAAAAAAAAAAATCCCCTACCACTTGTTCAGGACGTATTTTAGCTGACAAGAAGAACAAGCGAAAGAAACTTACCAGCTCTTTATCATAAGTAATGACATTTGCATACATCATGTCATTACCAAAATAATATGTATCACAACAATAAATACAAAATACAATAAAAAATCCGGGGCTGTTGTATATTTAATTAACTGATTAAATATACAACAACCCCGGATCTATACTTGATAGTGAATAAATCGAAACTTGTTAGTGCCCAACCGTCAACACCCTCGATGTGAGGTCGATTTTGTTTTAAAATTTTTTTTTTGACGACTTTGGAACATGTCAGTCTATTTTAAAAGACATATACGTGAAGCTAGTTTTGCTTTTTTTAAAATTACGATGATTTTACCGGTTGTCTCTGGCGTCCCACACCCTAGCTCTGGCCCTGGGAGATCGTGTATTTTAAATTAGGTGTAAAAGTATGATACGACCGAACCGAACCCACGTTAACTGCGCTCTGAATGTAATAAATAAATTACTCGCATTTAAGCCCATTAAAAAGTTGTTCTTTTAAATTGTTTTTGAAAAAATATATGATATAGTAAAACAATCAACAATATCACTTTTGAATAAATATGATTGGGTATATGAAAATACCTATATATCTTTACTTGCATTGTGTAGTTTAAATCACTACATAGTATAAAACAAGTCCCTTTCTCTGTCCCTATGTATGCTTAAATCTTTAAAACTACGCAACGGATTGTGATGCAGTTTTTTTCATAGATAGAGTGATTCAAAAGGAAAGTTATTATGTATAATACAAGACAAGACCAACTTTTTATACTATGTAGTTTAAATCACTACATAGTATAAAACAAGTCGCTTTCTCTGTCCCTATGTATGCTTAAATCTTTAAAACTACGCAACGGATTTTGATGCAGTTTTTTTCATAGATAGAGTGATTCAAAAGGAAAGTTATTATGTATAATACAAGACAAGACCCACTTTTTATACTATGTAGTTTAAATCACTACATAGTATAAAACAAGTCGCTTTCTCTGTCCCTATATCCCTATGTATGCTTAAATCTTTAAAACTACGCAACGGATTTTGATGCAGTTTTTTTCATAGATAGAGTGATTCAAAAGGAAAGTTTTTATGTATAATACAAGACAAGACCCACTTTTTACATTTAATTTTACAAATTTTACATGCATACCTAGATGTCAATGTAATGTTCATATCAAATAGAGTTGATCTGATGATGGAGCCGGATTACGTGACCCTATCGACTTTGTTTGTCAACATGGTGGTGTATAATATACAACAAAAGCTTGCATTACAAAAAAGAAAATTTAATATAGAATGATATAAAGTTTTAAGTATTAAAATACTGAAAAGTATTGATAACACAGCATCCAACAATTTGCTGATTAAAGAAATATTGATCTCAGGGCCGTATGCTCTGCCTTATCTATAAAATGTGATAAATATTAGTACACTTTTAATATAATGATATCTTCTGAAAATAATAATATCTTCTACTTAGTCAAAATAAGCTATCATATATGTAATGCTTTGTGTATTAATCATAATTAAGATGGAATATATGTAACAGGGTGCAGGGAAAGGCCGAAAGAGATATACTCGCCCATACCAAACGAGGTTTGGCAGGCATGTCTGCAGACTTGCTTGCAAGCATGCCCATTTAGTGGATTCCCTACTTTATAGAGTTTCTGATCGCAGCCCAAAACCTGTTTACCGTTCTATATAATAAACTCGGAAAATGAATTAACATTAGACAACATTGCATACATCGCTCAGATTCCAAGGTGAGTACCTAAAACCTTGTATTATGGAGAATCTAAGACAACGACGGTACTGAAACACCCAGACCTGAGACAATTTAGAAAAGTCCACTTTATACATCAACCCGACTAGGAATCGAACCCCAGACCTCAAAGATGGCGAAAAAAAAAAGAAACCAGTGTAGGTACCACTCTGCTACGGAGGTCCTTGAAAGTTGATGATTTATGAAAAAGAAAAATATGTTTCTGTGTGACCCATTAAATATACACTCCAAAGTATTAATATGAATAAAATACGCACCTGAATAAGTTTGTGTAACAAAAACCTGGACAGCATGCGCTAACATCGATGCCTGTTCCTTTGAGACGATCAGCCAATGCCCTCATGAAGTAACAATTCATTAATTTAGAGTTTTGATAGGCAGAAATATGACGGCCCTTCACCTTGCCTTGTTTTGCTTTCTCAATCTCTGCCTTTGAATTCAAGTCATCAAAATTTATTTCGCCTTTTTCGTGCAATGTTGAAGAGACAATAACAATTCTGAAAATTATTATAATTATCATTCTCAAAGAACTCCAATTTTTTTGTTTTTGAAAAAGAAGACTACAATTACACACGTCTGCAAAAAAAAAATGTTTTTTTGCTGCATAGGATATTTTTACTGAATTATATATTTTAAAGATCACAGATTCTAAAAATGACTATCAGAATATCCCATCACGTAAAGTTATTTTGAAAAATAAAAACAAAATTTTTCGAAAAAAAACTACTGCAATATTTTCTTTTAACTAAAAAAAAAAGTTTTCTTATTTCTAAATGTTAATTATGCTACTCTTTTTTCTTGTGAAACCTTTTCTTCTTATCTTTGATGCTTCTGCGAATTAGTTTTTGATTTCCTACACTGGTTTCTCGATTGAGCATCCAATAGTAGTCGGCTAACGTATTGACATCCCATCTTCCTTGGTAACGTCTCTCGATTTCACGGACATTCTGGTGAAACCTTTCAGCCTGCTCTTCACTATAAGCTCCCAAATTTTCTGGACAATAGTCTACATGACAGTGCAAGAAATGGACTTTTAAACTCATCTTGCATCCTTGAGCTTCATATGCAGCCAGCATGCGTAATTGTACAATTTTTTTATAGTCTGGGTATTTAGTATTCCCCAAAAACTTTTGCACTACATTTTTAAAAGAGTCCCAAGCTTCTTTTTCCTTTTCCCCCATTGTTTCCACAAAGAGAGGATCGGACAAAAGTTTTCTTATATCGGGGCCAGTGACAACTCCTTTTAACTTGGTTTCAGACAGTTTAGGGAACTTGGAACACAGGTATCTATCTGAAACAATCGCCATCTGTTGGCAGTGATTTTACAAATTGCTTTATAAGTCCTAATTTTATGTGAAGAGGTTTCTGGTGGAACTAACATCGTATTTATGACGTTTTTCTCGCCTGGGGTTAGGTTTTCTCAGAGTGGCTTTCAGTTTTTGTCCAATGCAGATGTCTGGTTCTGCTGTCCCATAAGCACAGAAAGCAAGGGTATTTTGTATAACCTCCCTGTTCACTAAACAACATGGTTAGTATTTTGAAGTCTCTGCAAACCATCCATTAATGTTCTTGATATTTGATTTTCTCAAGAATCATAGCCAAGTCATTATAGTTTTCTTTCATGTGAACCGAATGACCCACAGGAAGAGATGCAAATACATTTTCATTATGCAGTAAGACAGCTTTGAGGCTAGTTTTCGAAGAATCGATAAATAGGCGCCATTGTGATGAATGATATTCTATTTTAAAACTACTCATAAGTTCATGGACGTCGTCACAATAAACCAGATTGCTCTCTTTGGAGAAAAACTGCGTGAAATCCTTCTCTCGATGCCTGTACCACGAAAATGGGGTCCCAGATAATAGCAATTTCTTTTTTTCAGCCTTTATCCTAGCAGTTCGGCTGCATCTTTTGAGTCTCTTACTACGTCATTCAGTTCACTCTGAGAAAACAGTTAAGGTCTCTCGTCAACAGGAAATTATGGGCTAGATTCGTCCTGGAAAGCTGATGTGTCTGATTCTTCTGCCTCACACAGGATATCATCTAAACTAGATGGTGGCTGTGTAATTGGTATTTCAGGGCCATGGGGTACTGGACAAATAGCTGAATATAGGTACGGATAAAAGATTTTCTTTATATTTTTTGTATTAAATCCTTTTACATCTACTGTGCAGAAGTAGCAGTCGGTTGTATGACTTTTTTGTTCACGCTATATCATAGGGATACCAAAACGAAACGAATTTTTCTTGCCTTTAAACCACAAGCGAAGATCTTCCTCACATCTCCTGCACACTTTATGCTTTGTCTTGATCTCCAAGTTTACATTTGAAATATGCAAAATAAACTTTTTTACGAACTCACTTATGTTTCTTTGTTGTTTTTTCACTATGTATTCACCACATATGTAACAAAAGCTATCTGGAGGAATAATACAACTTTTGTGAGCCATGTTCCAGAAATAATAACACAAAAATACAATATAATAAGATAGCACAGTAACATTCGAATGCTTGATTTGTACTGATTATAGTATTAAATCAACTTAGACTGAATGAAGCTTGTTGAAACATGTTCTAATTCAAAAGCAAGTTGTTTACGAGTATATTTATTCTTAGTACTCTAGATAACAAGTCAAAACATGCTCAACCTCACCACTAATAAATTTATTTAGCCTTTCGTATTAGTAATATTAATTTTACACTAACCACAAACCAAAACTTCAGTACAGCAAAAAAGAAAATTATGACATGATAGATTTTTTTTTGTATTTTTTTTCGGTTTTGCCACATGAAAATCTTTAAGAAAATATATAAAAATCCTATGCAGTTTTTTACATGCAGACCTGTGTTATTTTCAAAAACTCCGCATTTAAAAATATGTTGCATATGAAGCTTATCATAATTATTTATTCACAGAAAAATTAAGTGCACCTATTTTACATGTTCGTTTAGTAAAGAAGTACAAGTAAAGAAAGTAAAGTTTTAGTAAAAGTTTTAAGAAAGAAGTTCCCAATGACTTCAACAGTGACACTACTGAATTATTGTTATTGTGCTTGTTTTCCAAAAACAGCAATATTTGTTCCATACTTAGGTATTATACCTCGAAAATATACTAACCTGCTTGGAGAAGCTCTTTTTAAAAGTTCTATAAGTAATTTTGTGAGGTAAAAATGTCCCAAATGATTTACACCAAAGTGTATTTCAAAACCTTCTTTTGTTTTTTCATCACGGTCCAAGGGTATCGCAACACCAGCATTGTTTATTAGCACATCTATTTTGTAGAAACCTGCCTTTATTACATCTACAAATTTTTCTATAGATTCAAATGATGCTAGGTCTAAGTGCATTGGGATCTGAAATAATATCTCATTTTAAATAAATAAATATTATACAATAACACATTTATTGTTCAGATTTAAATAGCTTGTATTATGGAAAGCTGAAACAACAAAGGTGTCAACACCCAGACGTGTGGCAATATAGAAAATTTTACTTTCTATGTTGGCTCAACCGGATCAAACCAGGGATCTCAGAGATGGCGATATCTTGAAACCGCTATGTAAGCTACAGTTTTTTTTTAAATCATCATCATCATCTGCCCTTTTACGTCCCCACTGCAGGGGCTCAGGCCTTCCTTATGGATGGTTTAGGAGTATGGGCCATGACCCTCCACGATGGCCCAATGCTGATTGTAGGGTATTAACGACAGCAATTGCAGCCGGGAACAATGGCTTAACGTGCCTTCCGAAGCACAGAATGTAGCTCGAGATAATAATTTTTTGGTCACCCATCCCGTGACCAACCCTTGCGAAAGTTGCTTAACAACAATGATCGCGCGCCGCGGCGCTTATCCACTATGCCATAGAGTATTACTTACCAGTTCACCACCGTAAGGTTGCTCTTTCCTTATGCTTGCTATCAATTCCTTCGCTCTAGGTACATCTCGGCAAGCCATAATCACCCTTGCTTTTCTCCTAACCAACGCCTTAGTTGTTTCCAGACCGATACCACTCGTAGCACCAGTTATAAGATAGGTCTTTCCTTTCAGACAAGTGTTACTAAAACACTTGCCCCATTTTCTAGATCTCCATTTACGTAAAAGGCCAACAGCAACTATTACTGACACTGGGATCGCGGCGTAGAGTACTGTCACCATTTTACATACAATTAACAATTTTCTTTAGGTTATAACTACTCCGATGAAATACGTACTGTCGGCACTTCAAAAATAAAAATTAATATAAATGAAGTCGACCAGCCGCTGGCTGTCGCGCGAACGAAACGGAAAATGCATGGACAGACATTTGACATTGACAATGACATCTGATCTCTTCTTCTTCTTTTTTAATAATGGCTTATCTGCGCATTTCACACAATTCTGCCAATGTTTTTTACATGTAAAATGAAAATGAAATGAATCTAAAATTAGTTTCACATCTGGAGGCCTACTCGCGTTCTCGAAAACGAAATTTCGTTTACGAAATTAAAACGAAAATTCGCATGTTACGCTACTCTTTATCATTTTTGTATATACCAACGAATGTTCGATTCCAAAGACAATTTTCGTGATCGATTGGAGTGAATGCAGGGATGTTAGACGGCCACTTAGAAATCCTTGTGCCGAGCTGGCTGAAAGCTGGTATTCGAGGGGGGAAACTAGTACGCCTGTGCTCCACTCTGGCGCTGCCAATTCTGGGAGACAAACTGTGTGGGAAATTGCATCTCAGTAAAAAAAATGCACATTTCAATTTCGTATACCGTTAAAAGAGGTCAGTAATTATCGAACGCACGGAAGAAATATCACTTTTAACATTTTTTTTTTATATTATATTGCATTTCGGATATAATATGTAAAATATATTGAAAAAAATAAATAAATGATTTGTAACGAAGATTTTTTTATCGAAAACGGCGGTTCGCTTAAGCAAACAACTGATACTAAGTGCTTCAAAAAAAAAGAAATTCCTGTGCAGTAATCGAACCCGGGGCCCCGTGAACGTGAGCGCAATGCGTTACCATTACGCTATCTAACATATTGAGAAAATAACGACGGAAAATGGTAACTGCTCATCGAGGCAGCTTGATATAATAAAGTTTTATGGCATTAAGGAAATCTGATTGGAATGTTATTTTACATGCATCTCTGAAATTTGTCGATTATTCTATGTTGTCACTGTATTTTTGTCGGTCAACGGCCAATCTTGGTATTTTTGCATACAATGACTAAGTAGGCTTGGTACATGGTACGTGACACTAAAAACTAGTCAGTATACCAAGAAGTTGGTACGTCTGACATCATTGAGTGAATGGCGTTATTGGATTTCTTATAATGTCAATTCCGGTTATTACTTGAAATATATAATGTTAAACAATACATATATTTCTTTTAAATAAAATTTTAGTGGCTAAACATTGTTTAAATATAAAATATTATAATAATAAAACGAAAAACTAAGTATATTAATTAATTTTATTTTTCGATACAACTGATCAAGACACTATAAAGAACTCTTTTATCGACAATATTTTTTTTTTACAAATAAATTTTTACAACAATATTTAAGTTTTACAAGTTTAATCAAAGTGTTCAGTGTTTAGTAATATAAATTAGGGATGATCGATATTAGAAAAACATCGATGTTGACATCGATGTCATCATCGTAAGCCCAACATCGATGTCCGATATTTATCGAAAATTGAACATCGATGTTGGAAATCAACAATGATTTTTTGCTATAAATTTACAAAGAAATAAAATACAGTGAATCTTTCGAAATTTATTAAGAAACAGAAAAAATCATTACGTATTCCAATATTTTATATCAACTGATTGAAAACTAATTTTGATAATGAAGAACCTTTGTATCTATTTCTTTATTGATAAAGAGTACAGCCAACTTTTCTAAACATTATTTTTCTAAAAATGTATTTCAAGATACGTATGTTTTACATACACAAAAATTCAGTTTTTTTTATCAAAATTTCGATGTTTTTGGTAATATCGATTAATTTAAACTGATATTAATATTATCAAATATTAAATAATGCATTGGTCTTGCGTGAGATCGTGAGTTAACATTGATGATTGATTTTGTTAACAACGATGCTAAGACATTGCTTTTTTTTTGTTTTCAACATCGTTGATTATAAAAAATATTCATCTTCGATTCGATCATTCTGATCATCATAGCGCGAGTCTGATTATGACCCTTGGCATAGAAAACACGCTATTATAAAATACGAATTGTTTAATAAAACTTTAATACAATTAAAATAACTAACATGTAATCTTTGCAAAACAATTCACACAAGTTTGTAAGATAATGTTTAAATTATTTTCATGGCGGCTCAAAAACAGACCTATAAACAATAGATTAGAAAAAAGGTCAAGGGTGATTTCGATAGAAAACAACGATGTACCGATGTTATCGAAATTAAAACATCGATGTTTTTTAGCTGAACATCGATGTTTATTAAACATCGATGAATATCGATCATCCCTAATATAAATTTATTTAAGTAACTAATTATTGTGAGTTCTGATATTTTATCTTGAGAAGTCAGTAAAAAACTTTGTAAGTAAATATGAAACTAATATTTAGTTTTTCGGCACAAAAAAAGGTTTTTCGTAATAAATTTACTTTTTATCAGTCATATTTTTCAGTTATAATGGCATAGCCTATATGCCTCATATAACCTGTAATATTAATGACATAATTATATAGGTATTTATTCATAATTCATACATAAAGCCAAAATAAACGATAAACTATTAGGTACTCACTGTCTCTTAATAAGATTCCTTTTATTTTGGTTTTAAGGGAATAATATATTTTCTTATAATATCTATCTGGTGAATTGTGGGCAGTCCTAACCTCCTAACACAACGAAACTGTTTACGAAACTAAAACTCGCGAAACTAGCCGAGGAAGTTACCAACTTGGTAACTGCCCGAGAGCGGACTCGATTAATCGTGATATCGACCCCATTTCGAAAATAAAAAATTACTAACGAAAATTAAAAGGTAACATTTTTTACTTCGTCAATTTGAGGTAAGAATTCCGAACAATTAGATGTCAAATTCAAATGTTCATTTCGTTATTTCGTGAAATAGAGCAGGTTTACAAAATAAATATGTCAAAGTATTTTCGTTTGTTGAATATTCGGAACGAAAGTAATTGTAGAAGGAAACGTCCGAATTTCGAACGATATTTCGTTTTTCGGTGAATTAGAGTAGGCTTCCAGATCTCGGTAGATTGAAGATTTGACATGTCAAAGTTTGACATGTAAAAAAGAGACTTGTCTTCGATGAAACTATGATGCATATCGATTTGATATCGACTAATCAAATAATTTATTATGTTTGCATTGATTCATTGAAGTGATTCATAGACTATTTACCTCAAATAAAAAAAATAACAAAGTTAGCAATTAACGGGACTTATAAGAGCCATAGACTTTTCTATATATTGATTATAGGCCTTTAAGGGTATCCATTTGTACTTCAGTTCAGTAACGGATTATATATTTATAAAATTAAATATATTATGGATAATAATAGATAATCATAATTTAGTATTTCTGCAACAATTTACTTTAGCCTATAGAAATCTTGAAAAATTGCCAATGACGGTATTAAGAATGCCTATTTTCCAGGGTGAACTGTGACCGATATAACTTCACAACCCTAAAATTTGTATTCGAACCATACAACTTTCAGTCTAGCGCCATCTACCTTGTTCAATGCAGAATAAAATAAAAATTCCTTTGCGAAACCAAATTAACCAAATTTATTATTTGTGCCGTTTTTGGCGTTCTTCTTTAATTCGAGAGGCGTGTGGGCTATAGCCATGTAACCTTCAAGGCTATACACCTATAACCTTGTATATTTATACAAGAATATTTTTTCTTCATGTTGAATAGCGTTATCATCGACAGGGTATGGATAACCCATTCATAACGGTAACCGTTTATATCGGTTAAAGCGAAATGAAAGGGTTAACAGTATACAGTTTAAACCGAATTAAAACGCTTATTGTTTGAAACTGTTAACCTGTATTAAACGGTGAATCAGGGTTTTGTGGTAATTCGTTTCGGTTAGGGTAAATAACCGAAATATACACAATATTTCCATTATATACCCCCTAAATTAAAAACACTCTATTCAAATATGTGATATTTATAAATTGTAAAGCGATTACGACCAACTCTGGCGTACTTTGCTTCAATGACAAAGTTATCTGAAGATGTGTTTAGTATATCTTGCTAAAGAAGTAAGTAATTAAATGCAAAAACCGATATAAATCGGTTAAAGACAATCAAAGTAACCGAAATATTTCTGTCAATCAATTATTAAAATATCGAAATGAATCGGTAATCCATTCGCCGTTTGGGTTATTTACAGTTTCGTTACGGTTAATAACCGTAACCGTCCAAACCCTGCTTATGGATAATTAATATTATCAAGCTTTGCACACAACGTAACAAATGTCCGTGAGCCGGAATACGGACAATGGCAACACGGGGTCGGCTAGCTCTTTCTCTACCTCAAAATATGGTGTAATATCCTTTAGAAGATTGGGCTTGAAATTAAAAACGGTTTGTTTTATAGCTGGGCTGTTTATTTGAAATACATATCGTAGGGATAACTAGATAAAAAATGTATCCAGACTATGAAACAATTGATATGGCAACATTATGAATATAATTTGTTTGAAATTTTATTTAATAAGAGGCGTTTTATATTTCACTATAGTAGATTATTTCAAAAAGTCTAAATTAGTTTTATCATAGAATATAAGAAAACATTAATGAGCATTATTTACCATACAAACATTTATTATGTACTCATTTAACTGAGATCGGTTACATTTCATAATAAATATTACAACAAATAATCACAATAAATATAAAAAACATGTATCGTTAAAATTTATTATCTATTAACAGTTAATGGAATTTAAAAAATCTATTTAGAGTCTAATGATGTGAATTGTCTGCACAGATCTAAATGAGAGTAGATATGCTACTTTTTACAGTTAAGCCAAGTACTCATACAAAACCTTTTTAATTTTGGTATTACATAATCTACCATGAACATCGTTTATTTCAAATATTATCCCAAAATATCGTATCTCAATCAACATATTACTTGAATTTTTCAAACATCTTGTTTGGTGAAATTGTTTATATTGGCACTGGTAATTATTAAAATACATTTTGTCACATAAATTTGTGCCGTTCGCAAAACACATGGAATGTAGGTACCTATAAAAAGCTGCTC